TCTTTTTCTTCCACAGTTCGGGTTAGCCTTGCGATTGCTTCATTCATCTGAGCCAGTTGTTCTTCAACGGAGGTAACGCCGATAGTCATGACTTGTGCGACCAATAGACGTGACTTTCCTTTAGACATCCAGGATGCTGATGAAGAACGTCGTTGGCTGCTTTGAGATGTCATCTTATGTGCCTCAGCATCATGCTTCGGTGCCCCCAGCGAGGTCAGGTTGATGACAGACTCACACCTTGGATGCTCCCCTTGCTCTTTTAGCGGCACCAATTTTGAAGTGGCATGTTGAAGAGCGGTTGTGGCGCCAATGGATTATCCGTTTGCGGCAGAAGTGCTTAGGATCCTTCCCTCAGTGGTTGCAAGAACGGCTTGTCCCTTGCTTGATGCCATTGACTTTGAGGTGTGCTTGGATTCCTTGAACGGAGAAAGAGATGAGAGGTAGAGATTGTCCCACTGGGCGTGCCAATTTGTGAACACGGAAAATTCCTGAAACGAAAGAGACAAGAAACGACGCGTACAAACAAATATTATGTATTTGAAGATTTTGGGTTACAATCTCTCTCTAATTTGATCATCTGATTCGATCTCCGTAAGGTGTGTATTTGTGGATGTGTGATTGATCCAATGGGCCGTTGGGCTTGATCTAAGGATGAACGTTCTTCAAGGGCCGTGGACTTGATCTTGAAGGTGAATTTGAGCGGATCTTCAAAGGGGCTTTTGGGCTTGATCTTTGAAGAACAGTGACGAACGGATCTCCAAGGGCTTTTGGGCTTGATCTTGAAGAACAGTGATGAACGGATCTTCAAGGGCTTTTGGGCTTGATCTTGAATAACGGTTTGATGTGTGGATTTGTCGACGTTGTTGATCCAAATGGCCGTTGGGGCTTGATCTTGGATGAGCGGATGATGAACGATGGTGCTTTCTTCAAGGGTCGTCGAGGCTTGATCTTGAATTGGTGGATGGTTGATCCAAGGGCCGTCAGGGCTTGATCTTGGAAGAACGATGAACGAAGAACGAAGAACACTTTCTTCAAGGGCCGTCGAGGCTTGATCTTGAATTGGTGGATGATTGTTGATCCAAAGGGCCGTTGGGGCTTGATCTTGGAAGAACGATGAACGAAGAACACTTTCTTCAAGGGTCGTCGGGGCTTGATCTTGGAAGAACGATGAACGAAGAACGAAGAAGGCTTTCTTGATTCTTCCGGAACCTGGATGCTTGAGAGCTTCGGAGTTTTAGAGCTTCAGAGCTTCAAGGTGTCATATGAATTGGTTCCCCCTCAAATGAATGAAATAGGCTTGTATTTATAGAATTTTCCAAGGCCTAATTTTGAATATAATATTCCAGATGAAATAAGTCGTTTCTGCCAGGTGTTGACACGTGTCCTGTTTGATGACTTTTCCAACTATTTCGATTTTTGTTTAGACACACGCTACGTGTAAAATTTATGTAATACATGAGCGTTGAAACTTTGATTTATCGGTCAACATTTATTTACCGAAATTTCGATGTCTACAGTTTGTTTTTTGCAATTTTTGGCATATGCAATCTCGAAGTATATACAAACATGTTTGACGATTGGATCATTGAAACTAGTTTCGTAGAATGCGTATCCCATCAAAACAATAGATTCACTAACACTTAAAAGAGTTTATTTATACTTTCATTAAGTATAACATAACTAGTGTAAATATTTTAAATTGAAGATCGAATTCATTCATTGTATTCATATAGGGTCAAGGAGTGTAGCTGTACAAAATTATCAAAATCGGAGTTAAAATAACCGTTAAATCGTGATTTTTCGTTTATAACCGTCGAAAAGTTTTGTCTTGTTACTTGATCTCTGAATGTTTGTTTTTTGCAATTTTTGGCGTATGCGATCTTGAAGTATATACAAACATGTTTGACGGTTGGATCGTTGAAACTAGTTTCGTAGAATGCGTATCCCATCAAAACAATAGATTCACCAACACTTAAAAGTTTATTCATACTTTCATCAAATATAACATAAGATTTTGTGGTATCCACTAGTGTAAATATTTTAAATTGAAGATCGAATTCATTCATTGTATTCATATAGGGTCAAGGAGTGTAGATGTAAAAAATCATCAAAATCGAAGTTAAAAGAACCGTTAAATCATGATTTTTTGTTTACAACCGTCGAAAATTTTGTCGCATTACTTGATCTCTGAATGTTTGTTTTTTGCAATTTTTGGCGTATGCGATCTCGAAGCATATACAAACAAGTTTGACGGTTGGATCGTTGAAACTAGTTTCGCAAAATGTGTATATCATCAAAATAATAGATTCACTAATACTTAAAGAGTTTATTTATATTTTCATTGAGTATAACATAAGATTTTGTGATATCCACTAATGTAAATATTTTAAATTGAAGATCGAAATCATTCATTGTATTCATATAGGGCCAAGGAGTGTAGTTGTAAAAAATTATCAAAATTGGAGTTAAAATAACCGTTAAATCGTGATTTTTCGTTTATAACCGTCGAAAAGTTTTGTCTCGTTACTTGATCTTTGAATGTTTTTTTTTTGCAATTTTTGGCGTATGCGATCTTGAAGTATATACAAACATGTTTGATGGTTGGATCGTTGAAACTAGTTTCTTAGAATGTGTATCCCATCAAAATAATAGATTCACTAACACTTAAGAGTTTATTCATACTTTCATCAAGTATAATATAAGATTTTGTGGTATCCCCTAGTGTAAATCTTTTAAATTGAAGATCGAATTCATTCATTGTATTCATATAGGGTCAAGGAGTATAGATGTAAAAAATCATCAAAATCGGAGTTAAAATAACCGTTAAATCGTGATTTTTCGTTTATAACCGTCGAAAAGTTTTGTCTCGTTACTTTATCTGTGATTGTTTGTTTTTTTTAATTTTTTGTTGATGAGATCTGGAAGCATATACAAACAAGTTTGACGGTTGGATCGTTGAAATTAGTTTCGTATAATTCGTATCCCATGAAGTTCAATGGTGTGTGTGTACATATATATATTTATTAAGTAGATTTAAATCTATTTATTTTGTATGTATAATTATTATAGTTTTTAGGGGTATAAAATTTAATATATATATATAACTATTATAGTTAATATTTTGGGGGTATAATTATTATAATTATTATAGTTAATTTAATATATATATATATAATTATTATAGTTTTTAGGGTATAAAATTGTTAAATTAATATATATAATTATTATCGTATTTTTTTAGGGTTATAAAATTATTAAATTAATATTATGCTTATCGTGTATCGTGTTACCCACGTGTATACCCGAACTAACCCGTTATCTTAACAGGTGCTTATCAGGTTACCCGATAACGACCCGTTTCCTTATCGTATCGACCCGAACACCTGTTAATTTCGTGTCGTGTCGTGTTGGGTTATCGGGTCGTGTCAGAAATTGTCAGGCCTTTGCAGTCATGAAGAATGACGCTCATACATGAAAGAAGCCAAACAATATTTATTATGACAACAAGTGTTTAAACTTTTCGTTTTGTGTTTTTAACGAGTCATTTTTAGTATATGCCAATTAATAATTTGCAAGTCATAAAAATGACTCATTGCAGATAACAAAGCCAAACAATATTCATTAGTGTAGAAACTTTATATTTGTATTCTTATGGAGTCACACATATTTGTCAACTTGTATAATAATTGAACGCTTTGTCTTTCTTAAATGGTACATGATTATGCTCATGTCGTTTAACGGCATTGGTTACTTGGATACTGATTAGGGATGGGCAATGGTTATGTGGGCGGGTAACCGCGGTTAATTTACCCATAACCGTTTAAGCTCATACCCGCATAACCGTTTACCCGCATAACCGTTTACCTGTTTGGTAATTGCCTAAACGGTTATACCCATACCCATAACCGTTTATAAACGGTTAACCATACCCATAACCGCATACCCATTTAACCGTAACCGTTTAATACCCGTTTACCCATTTATCCTTTTTAACCCGTTTATTATTATTTTTTTTTACCATTACCCTTTTTTCACCCGTCTACATGTTTTTAACAACTTGAAAATTTTAAAAAAATTGTCATAATTTTTTTTTTTTGACAATTAAACACCGTTATAGGTACATTCATCATACATTTCTATATTTTAATTTTTTAAGTCCTTATACCATTTCAATAATTGAAATAATAGTTTACGTACGATATTTTTAACTATTACCAATGAAGGTAAATATAATATTGGCTAAGTATTATTGGGTTACAAAAATTGTTTAGAAGACATTTCTGTCAAAGCATTTCTGTCAATTTCACGGTTACCCGCAAGGAATTTAATTAATTTGGCCAATTCCTTGATGATGAGAATCATCATTCCTGTAGTAGTGTTATTGAGAGAATGACCGATGAATTCCTTGCTAATTTATTGGGTGCTAAGTATTATTGGATCGAGAACATGGTTTGTGTTAATTTTACATATATAAAATAAATGGGTAAACGGTTACCCGTTTATAACCGTGGTTAATACCCATAACCGCCCATTTAAATTTCGCGGGTAAACGGTTATATCCATAACCGTTTATTTATCTAAACGGTTACCCATAACCGTAACCGTTTAATTTAAATGGACGGGTAACCGCGGTTGCCCATAACCAATGGGTATTTGCCCATCCCTAATACTGATAATCCGTGTGCGTGCTTAGAGATTTATTGGGTGGATTTAGTGATTCGATTGATAGGATTCGATAGGCTGCAGCTTGCTTTTGCCAATTTGCATTTGCTTTTTATGAAAATCTTGTGTTATTGGTGTTAAAAGTGCAAAAATTCGCCATCTTCAAATTTGATGAATTTGTACCTACAAAACAATTAAACATCTTTTATCAATGACCAAAGACACGCCCACAGAGTGTTGTTGAGTTTGGTCAATAGCTTTCGATACCTAAGTCAAGTTTATCCGAAAAGAAAGAGAGTTTAAGAATAATTGCATAGCAAAAGCTTACTAGAAATTGGTAAAAAATGAGATCAATTTTCACCCTTCTTGGATCGATTGATAATGACGCTTGTTCTTGGGAAAACATTGTGAAATTCCTAATCAAAGATCAATCAAGACTTTACTCTACAGGTAAAATTCCATCTTTGCATAATCACAGCTTCTGCACGAAATTCTACTCTAACCAAACCATCTAGATATAAATCTACCAGAACAATTTCAAACAGTCCTAATGTGGAACAAGTGGAATTTGAAGATGTTAGTGAGATCGGAATTGCCATGGAGAGGAGGAGCGCAATCGACTCTGTACTGATGTACTTTGCTGTGCTCCTCTTCCGTTTCTTCATTCCATCCTCAGTTAAGTTAATGAGATAATGTTGAAAAAATGGGCAACTCAACATACGTCCAACTTGCTGCTGCGGATCTTCAATTTTCAGCGCCACTAGTTCACTCCTTAGCTGTTGGTTCCTAAACTTTGAACTCTTGGGGAACCATCTTTTAAGCCTGTCTGGCCAAAACCTAATGGTTTCCAAACACAACCATTCAGTTACGAACAACGCATGCTAAACCCGATATCTAAAGGACTAAAACTCAACAACAATGATCACCATAAAATCCGATCTTAACTATCGAGAGATTGATATTGGAAAAAAAACACAAAACAACCGTGACTTACAAATCCAATCTTTCATATATTGCCCGTCGCACTGAGGAGTTCAAGCCACAGGGAGTTGAACAGGTCCTATAACAAGTATAAAAGTAATAAGATTTCATCAGGATAATTAAAAAAAAACTAGTAAACTAGACCACAATTATGCATGAACAATGTTCTTTGGAACACAAAATGCCCATTATACCAGAAAGAGGTACTAACTTGCCATAGAAAATAGCAAGATACCGTGAGTCCAGCTGTCCCAACATCAAGAACTGGGAGCCAAAACATTTTATGACTTTGTTCAACAAAGTCATGAATGCGGTTGATTGTGCCAAAAGCCTATGATCCTATCAGGATGAGTGGATAGTACCCCCACCGGTTCAAAGCCTGTTGAATGAAAGCAATGGAAAACAATTGACATGAACTGCTATTGAATGTACATTTAAATGGTCTATAACACAGTTTGAGTCTGACCCTAGGAAACCAGTTGCAGCACAATACACCTTCATTTCTGCTCTTGAATCTGATTGGTAAACCAAATCTGACATGCCACCCGCCATCTATAATTTCTGAACCAGAATAATGATCTCAACAAGTGTAAAAGTGAGTGGAATTATTTGTCCGAAAAAATAAATGATAGCACCACTACATACATGTCTTGCATTCTCCAGCATGCTTATCACTTGAAAATATGTAAAAACCATTGTAAAGAACTGCACCCCAAAGTGGCATGTGAAATGTTATGAGGTTAAGCGCCTGTAAAAATGGGTGGAAAATCAGAGCACAGTGAAGAAAACTTAATTACATCAGGCAGCTATAGCCAGAACTCCAAATGACCGAATTGTGCAATAATGACTTGAGGTAGTTCTAGTACAAATGATGCTTTGATTTGTACAGATAAAACTTGTTTAGAATATACAACACAGTGTAGATATTGTTATTCATGCAGTTATACCATGAGTAGGACATAGATTTTACTCCATTATCATTGGTTATACATTTTTAATCTAAAGTTATGGTATATTGCAAACAAATCGATAAATATAGTATCGATGACAGCAGCTTCCACATTCCCCCCTGTAAAAATCCTCCCACATATCATATAAAAAAATCCTCACTTCCCCTCTATTTTTTTTTATAAGCACGGTGCACTACAATAATAAGCACACGACAAACTCTTTTGCAAAAGAATTCTAGAAATTCCTATGGTCTAGGAAACTAAAACATCGCAACTAATAGGTACTGCATCCTTACCTTTCCAGTACGCCCTGATTGTGACCAACACCATGTACCTAGGTGGCTATGGTTATTCCCAATAGAGCACACAAGTGTCACAACTAATGAAGTCCCAGTGAAGAGGAGAAAAAGAAGCAAATGAACTCTAATGAGCTTCACAAATTATACATAATGAAAACAGAATTTAGCATGTAGAAATAACTCCTTTCTCTAAAACCCTTATTCTATCTCTCACCGGAGGAACTGAAGAAGAAGCTACCTCTACATCACTGAAAGTAAAACGAGAGATCTTTTGCAACAGGTAAAAATGTCATACCCCAAACATACAAATGAAACATTGCCTCCATATCTTCAACATCAGTTTTGTGTCTAACAACTGTGCGGTGGAGTGTAAAAGCGATCGTGTTAGTCCATAAGAAAGACGCTACAAGGAAGAAATGAGTACTGTCTGGATGGATCCCTGAGCACGAAAGCAACTTACCTTATAATCACTTAGAACCCCGAATCAGATAAAATTGTTACATTATCCAAATGCACTTGTCTGGGAGGGAAAAGTGAGCTTACCCAACCATGCTGAAGAAGCTACAAAGCATATCCTGCATTCCAAAATAACAATAACAATAAAGTTTCCTTTTTTTTTTAACTTCCATTTTATTCAAAATTTAAGTTATACACTGAAGAACAACAAAGCCCTAAACCCTAAAATTTATCTTGAATCTTTCAGGCTCAAGTCATCAAGGTAAATCCATTATATAAAGCTAAGAGCTTCCCATTTTTCTAGCGATTTTAAAGAAATTAAATCCAAAGTTTTATAGACTTTGTTCAATTTCCGAGTTTTTACAAGTTTCCAGAAACAGAACCCACCATGTCACCGGCAATCGAGCAATCAGATCCAACAACGCAATCAACTCTTATCATTTTCAGCAAAGTTTAGAGAGAGAGAGAGAGAGAGAGAGAGAGAGAGATGGCGTACGGAGAGCGCGAGATAGAAGACGAGCTTGAAGGAGAGCTTGCGGAGCTCTTTGAAGAGGACGTAGCAGAGGACGATGAACCCCGACCCGACAAACGAGAGGCTCGCCTCTCCGGCGTTAACTGCCGTCAAGACTTCGCGATCGTAGGCCGTCAGACCTCCGGCGACTTGCCCCGTCGCCGCCATTTTGTTCTTTCACTCTCTCTCGATCGCGCCAATTAAATTTCGAATACTCGCCCTCATTCTCTCGGAATACAGAAACTTCAAAACGCTCCGTTTTCGTATTTTGAGTCTTGACGGCAATGGTCGGTATAGGGGTCTGCTGCTTTAATTTCGTTTGACGGGCGAAGGATACGAGTTGTTTGTTACATGTTTAATTACAAATTTGGAGCGCTATTGATTTGTATCCAACATGATTCATGATGGCTAATGTGTCAAATTCAATTTTCTTGAGATCATTTTTGGTGTTCTAATTTTCAACTAGTGTTTTTTATGATTATATCATGTTTATGTTTACGTCTTATTTAACACTGTTTTCAAAATAACTAAAAATTTTACCGTCAAACAAAAATATTTTATGATTCGTCATATAGAAAAATTATAGATGAAAAACACTTTCAATGCTTTTAAAAGTGTCAATTTGCTTCTACCACAAACACTTGTAACAAAAACCTTGTGCGGATTAAAAAACTCCATGCATACCCGCTTCTAATGACCTTGTGTGAGACTGTTTTCAGATAAATCGCCTAGTAGATGCTCTTCTCCATGAAAAAAGAAAAAACCTATTAGATATTTATCAAGGAGTCACTTGACTTTTGAATAAACATTTTAACAAGTTTTTCCTAAAATACATAGTAAAAACGCTTATGAGCAAAAGTGTTTTCTACTGTAGCCAAACGAGCCCGAAATTTCACCATTTTAGACTTCTGAAAAGGGAATATGTACCATGTGAAACTTTGTTCAAATTATTGTTTAAAATTTCTTCGAAACGGTCGATATTTCTACAGAAATATCCAAAAAATCAAAGAACACTATGGAAATGCGAAGTGAAGTCTAAACTTTACCTGATAGTATTTAGACTTAAATGGACAGATACTCGTCGATATTTCTAACATATGTTAAATATCGGAGAAACTTTTATATTTCGTCCAAACCAATGTTTGACTATCCTAAAGTTTTATTTTAAATTTTCATCATTTTCATCGAAAACAACCAATATCATATTGATATTTAATATATATGTCGATATTTTCATAAATTTAAATATTGATATTTTTACCGATACTAATATTTTAAACACTAATTCAAAGAAATGTCATCTCAAGTGCTTTTATCTCACATAAAGTGGCAGTTAACCAATTCTTCAATTTAGTCCTCAAAGAATATTCTCTCCTACTGAAGGATATCCATAATAATTTCTAACTAATTTTTTCGCTGTTAACTTAATTCTACACGAGAGAACATTCAGAATAAGACATGCTCATTTTGATAATTATTGTATTTTATATTATAGTGAATACTAAAAGATTTTGAAGTTAGGCTCGTGGGAAAAACCTTTCATAAATTTATTATACTTGATTTATCGAACCGTATTCACGTCACATTGAAAATTCGCTCCCGCATTCAAGATGGATAGTTTTCAAATTTTCGTTGGGGCAGTTGTTGAAATTCCTGAGATTACTGTGAGGACGTAATCAGAAAGGGAGAAAGTGGGGCTGTATATTACTGGTGTTGGAACTTGGGAGTCTACCTGGATTAGGTTTCTGTCTATTATCAATCAAGTGTTTCATTTCTTTAATCCAACCACATGGATCATTAATAGACGTGATATCCGTTTTTTAATAACAGTTTGGAAAAAGAAAAAAAGTATTTTTTTGTTATTACGAATCACAGTTTGACACATATGCATAAATTTTCTCACATTTTTAACGAATGGCTTTAGTACGTATTTATGTCAGTTTTTAATTTGCATGTCACGAAGAATGACACTCATTAAATGAAAGAAGCCAAGCAATATTTATTTTGACATGAGTGCTTAAACTTTTCCCTCTGTGTTTCGTTTTGTGTTTTGAAAGAGTACATAAACTTTAGGTTTTGTACGGGTCACTCATATATGTCAACTTGTAAAGTTGCAGTTTTCTTACTATAAAAAAGCCAAACAGTGTTCATTTGTTACACCCCACATCGTTCAGGGGAGTGGATCTTATAAGCTTTGTATGTATATTCTCATCTCTACCTAGCAAGAAACTTTTTGGAAGCTTATTGGCTTCGGATTCCATCGGAACTTCGAAGTTAAGCGAGTTAGCGCGAGAGTAATCCCAGGATGGATGACCCACTGGGAAGTTCTCGTGTGAGTTTTCAGAAACAAAACCATGAGGGCGTGGTCGGGATCCAAAATGGACAATATTGTGCTACGGCGGAGTCGAACGCGAATGTGATGGGGTCCGGGTCGGGATGTGACATCATTACAAAGTATAATATATTTGAATTCCTTTCTTTTTTCTTTTAATCAATACAAATTGTTTTTTGTATTAATTATTTCCAATTTTCTTTGCCCTAATTTTTTGCCTCACTTGTTATCATACTTTTGATGCTACTATTACTATCCTCCTCATTTGGTGCTACATAAACAAATGGCCTGACAACTAACCCTTCATCGAAGTCTTGAAGACCTTCTAAGATCACAACCACATCACTCATCCTAGGCCTTTGCTTTGGATTGTGGCTCAAGCAACTGTAAGCCAATGCAGCCGCCTTTCGAGCCCCTCGGATCGAATACTGTCCCTCCATCATTGGGTCTATAATCCCGTCGAGCTTTCTCGTATCCTTCAAGCGAGGTTTTGCCCACTCCACAAGTTTCTGTTCACGACTGGGGCAGGTATTATCTATGCACCGTTTACCTGTCAATAGCTCTAGCAGAACAACTCCAAAACTATAGACGTCACTCTTGGTAGTCAAGCAACCTGTATTCAATTAAGTACGTACTAAACTTGATTAGTTTGACTTATGAGAGTCTAAACAACTAATTAAGTACTAAACGTGATTGGCTTACCTGTCATGATGTATTCAGGGGCTGCATACCCCTGTGTCCCTATTATACGTGTAGTTATATGTGTGTCCTCTCCTTCTGGACCGTCCTTTGCTAACCCGAAATCCGAAAGTTTAGCTGTATAATCCTGGAAGGGTAAAAAATTGATTCAAAAATTCAACCTTACAACTTTGCAGTTTTTGAATGAGCCTCCTGAATGCGTCCAATTATTTATGATGATCAAGTCACTTTCGATTTTTGCTTAGTTGTGTTGGATTTTTTTTCGACTTATGTAGCACGGAAAAAGAAGTGAAAAAGATCACATAACTTCAGCAAGATGTAAGGGAGCTCCGAAAGAAGAACATACAGAGTCCAGCAGAATATTCGAAGTCTTAAAATCTCGGAATATGACAGGCTTGTGATCTGCTTCATGGAGGAACGCTAAGCCCTTCGCTGCCCCAACGGCGATTTTCATTCTTTTCGACCACGACAGAGGAGTAGAATAACCTGCATATGTGGAGTACTTGTTAAACAAACTTTTTGCAGGTGATTAATTAACACAAATTTATCGAGAAAAAATGGAAAAACAACTCACTTCTGAAGAGTTGATTTTCTAAGCTTCCCCCTGCCATGTATTCATAAACTAGGAGCCTGTGCTCGTCTTCACAACAATATCCAATCAGCTTCACAAGATTTTGATGCCTCAGCTGCCCAAGAAATACAATTTCTGCCTACAAACAAAGAGAAAGAAAAAAATGCAATGCCATTTATATGAAGAAGGCCATTATGGTCATTTGAAATTCAAACGTTAACGTTAAGTGTAGTAATTTTCACATTCTCAGTTTCTCCTTTATCAACACTCTCCTCCCTTTATTTTTTCCGTTATTTCCCTTCATTTTATTCAATCATAAAGTTAAGAAAAAAGAAAGAAGGACAGTAGGAGAAATGAGAGTGCAAAAATCATTTTTGACGCGCAATAGATACACATGTAGGAAACGAACCAGCCATTCTTTGTGGCCTTGCAAACCATCCAAGTCCAACAGCTTGACAGCCACAGGCTGAGCCTTCAATCCAGGCCTAACCTTGTCACCAACAAACCCTTTGAACACGGGTCCAAACCCACCTTCCCCGATCAGACTACTCCATGAAAAATTTCTTGTGACAACTCCAAGCTCCGCGAGCGAAAACACGTGAAGGTTGAGGCTGATGAGGGGGTTGGAGAGATCGTCTGCAAAGAGAGCCGAGCTCAGATCATTGCTTATATCCGAGATGGAGAGTCTCTGCTGCAGTGATGGGGTTTGCTTAAGAACTGGCTGCTGCAGGCGGCTCTCTGGATCTGTAGTGCTCTTGTAACAGCCTGGGATGATGCATTTCCATGTGAGGATTTTCTTTTCAGTCATATATCTTGAGAAAAAAAAAGACTTGGAAATTAATTAATTTGTTGTAATGATGAGGAAGTTGTTATGTATATATGAATGTGAAGGCTGCTTATATATATACATGTACATATACATATATATATATATATATGTGCATGCATATATTCTACCAAGCCATCTGCACATCTTCGTATTTTGTTGGGGACGGCTATAATCACTTGCCTACCTCTTTGACTTGTACACCACTAACTTCTTTTAGAAAATTATGAACCAACCGCACAAACTACAGCAGCACCAAACAAGTTACAGTTTAAAACTCTCATTTTTTTCAATAATAAAATGGCCATAAGTAGTTGGGCGTGTTGAAAGTACCAATCCCAGATCGGAACAAAGAGAGATTTTACATATAATTATAAGTAGTTAAGCCAGTCTCTATATTAATGGAACCTCAATTTTTTTTCAGCTCTAATCTAAAACCTATATATGGGGTTATATTTGTTTATCAATTTCATTATCATGTCCAGTGGGGGTAGGTGTGATTAATTGGCTGTGCTGAATTATGTATTTTGGTTAATAAGGTGTTAGCGGGTCAAGATCAGCTTCAGCCAGCTGGAGTGCAAATATACCAAATGTGTATTTCGTCAATATACTTTGTAGAACTAAAACATGTCTTTTGGGCGAACTGAAAACTCATGTGCACGACGAACGATATAAAACAAACCAAAAACTGTATACGTACAGATAAGCATTGACATGCAGGAAGGAACTGAAAAAATGGCCAAGTATCTTCACCGAAAAAAAAAAAAATACTAATAAAAAGAATTTAAAATTTTTGAATTTTAAGGAAAATGGTAAAATAAAAAAAAAATAAATATTATTAGAATTGATTTTTTAATGTAAAAATATGATTTTTCGTTAAAATAAATAATACTAACAGATTTTCGTTAAAATTTAAAAAAAAAAATTCGCCTAATACTTACCTTCACACATGTCGACATTGCTGAATTAATTCAAGGATTAATAATTTCAAACCACAATCTTCTCATGTTTTTTAAATTACAATTTCATATTTATTGTAATATCAAATCACTATCAGGTATTTTTATTAATTTCTCTGCTAAAGGAGCATGAAGCGGTCGCACTCCCTTGGATTAAGAAATTAATTAAAAATTAAAAATAACATCATTTAAATATTTTTATAAAAAATGTAGGACCCACCCCTACAATTAAAAATAAAATCACCCTTCCATCACATTCTACCCGACGACATCGGTCTTACCCATCTCCGGGCAACCCAACCTCACCCATCTCCTCTGCAACTCCAAATCGCCCTTCGCCACCATCCCCATGACCTTCACCCGCCTCACCACCACCACCCTAAACCCAGATAAATTTTCTGTCCATTTTCATAAAAAAAAAAAAAAAAAAAAAGGTAAATTTTTTGAAAACCCAAATTCGTCAAATCCAATTCGAACAAGAAAATCTCACTATCCTTCTCACCGTTAGCCAATAGTCCACCTATTACTCATCTTCTACTAAATCCCAGCACAAAGGTGCCTCAAATTGCCAAGGTTTTGACTAAGGAACTCATGCCCATGACTACAATTAGATCGACATAGGAAAAGTAGCGGGCTTCGATGATTGTGAGGTCGAGGTCGCCGTGCAGGTAGGTCACTCGCTCTGACGTCTTTTCGGTCATTTCGTCGGCGATCAATGTACAAAACCCTAATTTTGTATACGAGATTTACTGAGTGGGTGTGAATAGTGAGAAAAAGCTGGGTTTATGGGGTTTGGCGTTGCTTGTAGGCAGAGGAGATGGGAGTTGCAGAGAAAACTCGTGGTGTCTGGGAGAGAGGAGGGAGTTGCAGAGGATATGGGTGAGGATGGGGCGCCAGGAGATGGGCGAGGTTTTGGGTTGAAAGAGGAAGAAGGTTGATTTTATTTTTAATTGTAAGGGTTGCAGAGGATATGGGTGAGGATGGGGCGCGAGGAGATGGGCGAGGTTTTGGGTTGAAAGAGGAAGAAGGGTGATTTTATTTTTAATTGTAAGGGTTGGGTCACATATTTTTTTTATATAAATATTTAAATGATTTTAAATTTTAAATTTAATTGGTCTAGGGAGTAGATCAACTTCAAATCAAGTCAGCATTTAATAGAGAAACTAACAGAAAAATTGACCAAAGTCTAACATTGCAACAAATTCATAAAATGAAGTATAACATTTTAATTTTTAAAATATGAGATATGAAATTGTGGTTCGATACATAATTAAGATAATTTTGTATAATTTATTTTAAAATGAATAAAAAATTTCTAATGCTGCGAAATTTTTTTATTAAAAAAGGGCTAATAAAATTAGCATATGCCTCGCAACTGATCTCATGGAGTCATAGTCGAACCATGGATGCTAATTGATGAAGAAGGTAAAAACTGGAAAGGTACCAGATTTCATGGTCAAAAGGGAGGAAGGGGGGTGAACAAATCAATCTACCAGATGCAACTTGTACACTAATTCGTGGGAATTTTACCAAACTCCTCGCGTGCATGCTTTTTGAAATGACAGTGCACGAGCATCTAGCACTTGCATCGACTTTTGATGTACTATTCTCATTTTAATTTTACACATCATAATAAACAAAGAATTAGAAGAAAAAAAAGTAAATTCTACATATAATATTCAGGTGTTGTCCGCCTTTCATGATTTTTTTTTTTTAATTTCAAGTAATTAAGCATGTATCCTCAATGTACTTTCATGAACTAAATTAGTGAACTTGTGCGATTTACACATTAAAAAAGTTATCATATATATACTATTCTTTATTTCAATCATTAAAGAAGGATTCCAACCATGAATTATCACGTTATGTGATCTAAAAAATATGATTCAAGTAGATGATCTCTCTAACATCACCTAATCCATAACATTTTATACATCAGTTTAGGTCAATAAAAATTAAATAAAATTTATAACCACTTGTATTATGACTTTTAGTATACCGGCCAACACACTGAAAAGTCTCTCATAACCTACCGCCAACCACATAATAATATAAAATTATGGATTTCACAGCAGACAAACAATAATAAGCCCCTTAATTAATGATTAAATGATTTATAACTTATCATTTGGACCGCAACTTCGTATGAGTTATACCTGGATTAAACCCAATGCAGTGCAAGGGAATTGGACCGAAAATAATAAGCCACAAATTATTAAACCAGTTGCAAGAATAATTTAGTTATATGATCTAAAGAAACGATTTTCTTACACTTTTACAAAGAAAATGCTAGAATCAGACCTGCATAATTCAATTCATGCAAGATTCATTGTGAGTCACATAAGATTTTATTGTCCAGAACTAATCACGCGCAAAATGCTCCTAATAAGTTGACCATCAAGAATCGTTATCCACAAAGTTAAACGATTTGAGTCGTGGTAGCTACACATAACTGAAATCTTTGTATAGAAAAACAAGTAATGTATAAGTTCCTTGCGTGCAATATCGGTTTAGGTTTTCTCTTTGATTTGGTCAAAACCATCCCTTGATTCCTGTTCTTCCTTTTTCCATTACTAAATTCGAATTCAAACTTGCAGTAGGTGTACAGAACCCATATTGTTTCGAGACTCAGAATTAAGTCATAGTGGGTTGTTGCCATATTTCGACCACATTTGGCTCTTAGTTTGTCACACATTAAATCATCAATTAAATGTTAAAAAATAAGCGACTTGGTTCTTAAATATAAAAAAATATATATATATATATATTTATTTATTAAAGTACATGTAATAAGACTAATTGAGGTTTTCAAAATTCTTTGGACCAAAATCCACACTCGATTTATCAAAGTATTGGTAGGAGTACATATATAAACCCTACAACACATAAATTCTCATTCATCATTGATTTGAAGACCTGCTCTAACAAACAATCAGAGTTGAGCAACGAGGAAATATGCATGAACGAATGGTAATAATGCACGTACGTATCAATTTGGATTTAAACAACCACACTGCCAGTCAACTTTCTTAAGTTCATATAATGGAATGTTTTATGTATATTATGTAAGCGATGAAACACTTGATAAGATACGATAAATTGAAGCTTAATCGCCTCACACATAAACCTAGGGATTGGAGAAGGACATAGTCTAGCTCATATATATTGTAAAATGCTATCCCTGCTAAGATCAACCACATGTGAGCGTGTATATGCTTTCAAAGATTCACGTGTATGTGTCTATAGTACGGTTAAATGCAACAAAATATCTTGTATAATTGTCCTTTGATGTGAATTTGATGAAGTTACCATTTTGGTGTGAATTTGATCATGTGGGTCACGCCAAGATTCACTACTGATATTTAACACAAATTTAAAAAACCCTAACTAATTAAGACGCACCAAAATTTGGTGGAAGTTGGCTGATGAGAGAGTATATGTGCATCACCATCACCCACGAAAGGGAACCAACCAAACCAACCCCCAAAAGCACCACCCCACATATAATTTCCACACCCACACACACACTATCTTCACGGTAAAATTATTTTATTCTCTCACCAATCAATTTCCAAAATTAGTGCAAAAGCTCATATTCTAGGATAAATTAGTAATAAGCTGTGATTTATATATACCTTACCACCCAAACAACCTCAAAAACAGAAAGAACTAATCTCTCTCTCTCTCTCTCTCTCTCTCTCATGATCAAAAACTCCTAAAATGTTACCCTTCTTTCTCAGCCCCGTCTCCTTATACGCCATCTATGTCCGCCGTTGCTTTGCAGGCTCCGGCCTCTCCCAGCAAACCCTACAACTCGACAATGATCAAACCACACTCCACTTCTGGGGTCCCAACCCTAAACTTTCTAACCAAACCCAAAACCCCGAAAAACCTTCACTCGTTCTAATCCACGGCTTTGGCCCCGCCGCCATGTGGCAGTGGCGGAACCAAGTCCAGTTCTTCTCCCCCCACTTCAACGTCTACGTCCCCAACCTTGTCTTCTTCGGGAATTCCACCACCGGATCCCCAGAGCGAACCGAGGTCTTTCAGGCATCCTCGGTCGCCAAGATGATGGAGAAGGTCGGCGTGGAGAGATTTAGTGTGATGGGGACGAGCTACGGCGGCTTTGTGGCGTACCACTTGGCGAGGATGTGGCCGGAGAGAGTGGAGAAGGCGGTGATTGCCAGCTCTGGGGTTAACATGAGGAGAGGAGATCACGAGGCGCTCTTGAAGAGGGCAAAGTTGGAAAAGATTGAAGATCTCATGTTGCCTTCCACGGCGGCTCAGCTCAACAAGTTACTCACCCTCGCCATGGCCCGGCGGCTCGACATCATTCCCGACTTTTTCTTAAGCGACATAATACATGTAAGTAGAAATGAATAATGTCATTTAGACACACAAAACAGATATGATACACAATGCTTTAATCAATTTGGGCACATTTACATTGATTTTGTGTGACTTAATAGCATTTTTACTTTGATTTTGTGTGACTTAATAGCATTTTTGCACAAAAAACTTAATAATACTTCTCTAATACGTGTGGATCCACATCAACATTACGTGTCTAAATAGTGTTACTAGTTTAATTGTGAATTTAATTCAGATTTATATACAGTAATTAGTCACCGTTACACCTCTTTTTCTTGGTATTATAGTTGTCTGTTTAATATGGACGGCGAATGAATTTTGTTGGATGTGTCATGTGGTCCATACGTATAGATACGTGTTTTTCTTCAATCTTGGTAAGTTAGGTGGGATTAGATTAGATGGGACCTATGACAAATGCTTAATTATTAGTTAATAACAAATTTAGTCTTGATTTTAGCTAGGGGTATTAATTAAGTAATCAAATATTGTACGCCCAAACATTTGTTACAAGTATATTTAATTAAGAGAGAAAATGTTAGTGTGAGTGCAGTTGTGCGTGATGAAGTTCTGATCATTGATGCATATGAGTTTCATGGTAAGATATCCGCATGTATTTATGATTAAAAACCATTCATGCATAAATAATATAGCGATAATGATATGTATTTGCGGTTATAAATCACTCATGTATACCGTGAAAACATGTAATAGACCTGTAACTTAATAGTGTTGAATGTAGAAATTGTACTCTGATAAGAGAAAAGAAAAGATGGAGCTTCTAAAGGGACTCACTCTTGGACGAGAAGACACACCAAACATATCTCCTCTTCCCAACAAGGTCATATTACATATCAATTAATTTGTGCGTAATTTGATATTAATTAATTTAAGGGGTTTGGAAAATCAGTTTTACTTAATTAATATTGCAATTTGGTTTCTAGGAGGTGTTGATAGTGTGGGGAGAGAAAGACCAGATCTTTCCTTTGGAGATGGCTACTGAACTCAACGAGTATGTGTCACCAAGTTCAACATTTTTATCATTAATTTTATCTATAAATAATTAACCAGTTTAATTGGTAGTTCTGGTGAGTAATTAACATTTGGGTTCTTGATTAATTATCTAACTTTTTTTTTCTGAACAATGCAGGCTTCTTGGACCGAAGACGAAATTGGAAGTGATAAAGAACACAGCGCATGTACCCCAAGTTGAAAATCCCGCTCAATTTAACAACATTGTAAAAAGTTTCTTGTGTGACTCTTGAATATTTTTTTGGCCTGGAGGATTTGAAACTGTTATATTATATTTAACCGGAGAAGTACAATACTCCATATCACTTGAAATACAAATACAAATATGTTTGCCTTAACACACATTCTTGGTTTAATTAAAAACTGCAAATAATTTTCAGCTTTTGTTTTTTTTTTTTGAAAATTGAAAACTCGTTTGGTGATTATTTCAGTTTTTACCAAACAGATTTTTACCAAACAGTTTTAAATTACTATTAATTGACCTTAGACGTCAAGTGACACACCCTGACCCAGAATGTCCACTAGGACTCCAAATCGAGTTGTGCTGACCGACACCTGGAAGGTGATGAAGCCATAAAGTATAATGATGTGGAAAATGTGAATAAATTTAAACCTAAAACGTCTAATTACCAGAGTGCGCGGTGAGCTGGTGTGAACCTATTTTACACGCGACGTCAGAGCATAAGTAAAGTACAGTAGTGTGGGCAAGAATCATACCCTCAAGAAGTAACCACCTATACAAAGAATTGCCATGAATCCTCATCAATACGAACATTCAACAGTTGAAACTTGGAGGGGCGCAAAATCGAAAATGTGAGTGGGCAAAAATAAAGCTTTTTAAAATCATTTATCTTTCCAAAATAATAATAACCCCTCACCGTAAAACCCATATATTTTCCCATAAAATAATACTATATATGTTTATAGAAATCATGCTCGAGAATAGTGAAAACCAAGCATTTGCCATGTCAATTACATTACATATTAGTATATACATTATTATAGTTATGCATACTGTTGTTTGGGGCTGCGGACGCTTAGGTAAACACCGGGTGAGTATATATTTATATTGATGATAGTGATGGTAGTGTATGTGGTTGTGTTGAGATAAATTTAATGTTTATTATCTTGCACCCCGATGTTAGTGCTCCGCTTGAGGCCAGGGCCTAGCCTTCACGTGATCGTTCACCTCTTGCACCATACGCTCACCTTGGATCCAAGGCAGGTGTCAGCCTGTTGTACAGACCACATTAGGTGGTTCCGACTCGTAGGTGACTTGTGATACTTCGCACAACCTTCACATGATCGTAGCACTTGAGAATAATTATTTCCACATAGCCTGTCGTACAGACCACATACGGTGGTTCCGACTCGTGTGCAGGAGTTTGTTTATGAGTTATAAGCTTAGCTGTACAGGTCATGTTAGGTGACTCCGACTGATATATTATTTTACGTTGATTTAATTCACCTAGCTTACTTATTTCAACAGTCACATCCTCGGCTCGACTTTGCCGTAGCACGATATTGTCTGCTTTGGGCCCCGACCACACCCTCACAGTTTTGTTTATGGGAACTCACACGAGAACTTCCCAGATGGTCACCTATCATGGGAATGCTCTTGCCTGAACTCACTTAACTTCGGAGTTCCGATAGAATCCGAAGCCAGTGAGTTCCCAAAAGATATCATGCTAGGTAGAGATGAGAATATATTTATAAGGCTTAGATGATCCATTCCCCTGTGCGATGTGGGATGTTACATCAAGTACAGTAAAACTTTTATATAGAAAGTTGGGACTAGACCAATTTTATAACTTACTTAATAGAGGTGTAGTTAAAAAAAAAGATTATTTATTTATCCTTAATAAATGTTATAATTCTTAAATATGATTTTTTGGGCACAAAATATTTTATTTCTTGCACGTATGTACTTTTTTTACTTGTACTCCTTTCTCCTTGATACCCAAGGGCCATTGTACCCGGTAATGGCGTGAGAGGTATACCAGTCCAGCAAACTTATGGGCTTATTCCCAACCCCACTATGGGCTCAATACTCTTTATCATTCAGTGAGCCCAATTTCATTTTTGATTCATTTTTTATGCATGTTCAGGAAGATGTGCCAGACTAACGAACCAGGATCTTCTCCTGAGCAATTCTCTAGGATCCTAGGAATTCCGCAATCTTGTTCGTTAATCGTATATCGTACGGTTAAAAATCATTTAAAATTTAAATTTTAAAATTCAAATATGAATAGTACCTAACGAAAACGGACTGCACGATATAAAATGAACGGACAAGATTGGAGGATCCCTAAGGAATTGCTCAGGAGAGGATCCTGGTTCTAGACTAACAATATTTCAACGGAGCTCGATGCACAATTATTTTAAATTTCCGTCGTACAAAAATGAGTTCTTATTATTGATCAACTATTAATCTAATGATATTTCTCTTCTCGATATTTGATGGAATCTGAATTTTACTCTCCCCGTGGACAAAAATAATAAACAAAGATGTTGAACACAATAAGTTGTATCACCTGTATTCCATGCATGCATGCATGATGGATGTTGGATAGGCTGGCATATAATATGCTAAAAAAGCAAATAATTGTTACAAATCTTTTTAGGGACGACATCGACAAGGATGGGAGTAGCAAGTAGCAGACACATGAAGCAATGAAGCATTCCCATATGAATTCATGACCCACCATTTGGTGGCAGCCGGCGGTCTTGTCCCTAACTCCAAACCAAACTCCTAAAATATACACATTTTATTTATTTATTTATTGCCTAAATTGTATCAAGGATCCTTAAACTATACTATCCCTTCTAATTTTGATCCATGAAGTTTGCTAATAGTTGCTCTTTTTCTCGAGTTATGCCCCGTGTTGTACTTGTGGTCATTTTTCATAACTTTTATCAACTTTTTTGTTAATTTAAGGGGTAAAGTGGGTATTTTAATTAATGAACAAAAAGTCAATTAAAATTAAGATTGTTTAGTCAATTCTTAAGAAGTTCCGATTATAAGCACAAAGTTCTATAAATATGTCACGAGTTAGTTTAAGATGAAGTTCTTATTTTATCCATCAACTTTTAAGTTGACGGAGTTATAAGAAAATGACTATTAATAGAGTTCGGAGACAAAAACTAAGCTTGTGGTATAGATCAGGGACTTTTACTTACAATTTAGCCTTATTTTTTATTTATTTAATGGCGTTATGTTTTAGAAGAAAAAAATATTTTATTTTATGAATCAGATGATGCTAAGCTAAATAATAAATTAATCATAAGTCATAACTAAATATCGATTTCAACCAGATTAAGCATTTATTATCACATGTGAGATGAATCTGAAACCTAAAGAATGATACTAAACTGTATTATTGGTAAGTAAGTACTAAGTAGACGTTTTATTAATCTAAAACAAATTAGTAGCTCAGTCAACAACACAACAGACCGTCTATTCCCCCAAGAATATAATATGGTTTTTCAAAAAATTCCAATAATTAGAATATCCTTTTTCTAATGAAAAATTAAATCCAATAAATAATAAACCCAAAATTTAATTTTTAATTGGGGCCTGCCTTTTCAAACTTTGACCGAGAAGTGTGAGAGAAGAGAGAAGAAAGAAGAATCAACCGAGAAGAAAGACAGAGCTTTGCAGCTTTCGGCGCTCTTCTTTTTTCTTTTGTTTTTGTTTTCAGATTTGGCCAAACACTTCGTAACCCATTTCGCTTCCTCGTAACACTGTTCATACATTTATATACAAATCCCACAGCATTCATTGCTTTCAAGTTTTAGCCAATTTTCTGCGCTGTTTTGAATAAAATTTTAGTTTAAATACACACCCAAAGTCACCATTTATTGTCCACGTTTAACACAAAAGTACTTATACAAAAAGCGATTGCGATTCAGCTCAATCTGTTGCTGCGGCTTCGCTGCGAAACTCCACAGCCTATAAACGAAAGGTCGTTTCTTTTTCATCGGGTGAGCTTACTTAAAGCTTCGTACTTTATGTGTTGTATTGTTCTTCTGCTGCCTTTTGCTTTGTGGGATTTTTTTTTTTTTTTTGGAAAACAGATCTCTGCTTTTGATCTTGCCGGACTGGATTGAGATGTTAGTTTGAATATAATTTTGGGTTGTTTTTGGATTTAGTTTTCTTTGATGGTTGCTTTCGAAATCGTTGATTTTTGTGAAATGTGAATATTTTAGTTGGTGGGTGATTTGTTTGTGTCCAGCTAAACTCTTAGGAAAACAGTAAAATATTTGTCAATTGAAAGGTAGATCAGATGCAAATCTGGAGTTAATATTTGCTAACTAATTATCTAGTTTGCCTAACTTGGCTGATGGGTTGTTCTTAATGTCATATCGACGGTGGCATTGTGTCTTAATTGCCATGTTTTGTTTTGAGGTTTCTGCCCGTGTTATATAGTCCCCCCCTGACATTTAGGTCTGTGATTGGTTCAATTTGATATGAAGGGATTTGAAGTTACATTCAACACATCGTGCAGAAGACTCGTGCACCGTCTATGCTGTCTATTTTGATCGAAAATATGGGATTACTCTGCAGCAGAAACAAGCATTACAACGAAGAGGACAATGAAGAGAACGCTCAGGTGGATTATGCATGATTGAATACAATCTTTGTAATGCTATTAACCAAGAGTTGCTGGAGCAACTTTGCATTTACGATCAGTCTCTAATTTATTGTCAATGCATGTATTTACAGACTGCAGAAATTGAAAGGCGAATTGAACAAGAAACAAAGGCCGAAAAGCATATTCAGAAACTTCTCCTACTTGGTACATAAAATTTCATGGGTTTCTTGTTACCTTTTATGATTTCCATGCTCAACAATCATGCACTTACTAGTTTGAGCTTTGTACGGTTGCAAACTTTCATTTTTATGACCGAGAGTAGCATATGTATGTGTTGTACTGTTTGTGAGGCGATGATTTCCAATTTCGGGGAAGTAAAAAATATAACTTTGATATATAACTCTGTCTAATGTTAAAAGAGTTTGCACCTGCTGCATCTATACCTTGGTCATTTTGAGAATTTCAGCTTTAATTTTCTCATTAACCATGGTTATCACTTCTACAACTAATGTGGTCAACCTATTTTTTTAAGGTGCTGGGGAGTCAGGGAAGTCCACAATTTTTAAGCAGGTAAGATATTGTATACGCTTCTCTATTTAAGTAACAATGTAAATATTTATACTTCTGTTACATATGATCTATTTGCAGATAAAGCTTTTGTTTCAAACTGGATTTGAAGAGTCAGAGCTCAAGAGCTACATCTCAGTCATCCACGCCAACGTATATCAGACCATAAAAGTACGCAATACTTGAAAGGGTGTGTTGGTTATTTCCCTTTCTGCATTATACAAGGAGTATTCGAGTCCATTCTTCATAGAAGAAAATACATCTTGTGGATTTGTATTCAGAGAAAAAGAATCCGAATGTAATGCTTCTATATAACGTATGCATGATATGGTTGAATAGGTACTGTATGATGGGTCAAAGGAGCTTGCACAGAATGACAGAGAAACGTTTGAAATATCCATTGAAAATAAGGTTGGAGCTCATCTTTTGATTGTCTATTACATCGCTTTCTCTCGTGTTGTTTTTTAATTTAGCAAACAATACTTGATGGAATTTGGTTTAACTGTTTATGACATTTGATTTATACATGAAATTAATGCACGAGATTCGGTTTGTTCAGTCCTTTGCTTGAGTGTTTTCTGAAAATTTGGATTCGTTATTAGGAAATTGGAGAGAAACTATCAACAATTGGCAGCAGATTGGATTATCCACGTCTCACTAAAGAGCTTGCACAGGATATAGAGACTCTTTGGAAAGATGCAGCAATTCAGGTAGCTGGTACTTCATGCAACTGCTTGACATATATCACTTGTTTGACATCAATCCTAGTGTTTGAAATCCAGAAGATATTTTTTGCTTCTGCTTCTGCCTTTTGTCCAATGCTCTAAGTGAAGCACCCCTTCTCTACAATTGTAGGAAACATGTGCTCGTGGTAATGAACTCCAAGTTCCTGACTGTGCCCACTATTTCATGGAAAATCTTCAAAGATTAGCTGACCCAGATTACGTTCCAACCAAGGTACCTAAAGTTCACAATTGTAACTCATTGTTTTAATTTAATAAAGCACCAGAATATTTTATATGTATTTGATTCGTAGCTTGAGCATGGCAAGAACTTCTTGCATTAATGTGGAAATGTTACAAATGTATAGCTCTAAAATAGCACTTTTTGTGTTGCAGGAGGATGTTCTTCATGCAAGAGTTCGTACAACTGGTGTCGTAGAGATCCAGTTCAGGTAATTATTCTGTTTTTTACTTTTTAAAGACTTGTCACGACTTCTTGTTGGAACTATGATATTTTATTTATAGCTGTACTGGTGCCAATGATCAGTTCTAAATCAAATGATTCTTGAACTTGTAGAAATTCAACCTAGGGGTGCCCTTACAATTTAATTGAGTTCATGATTTTCTAATGACGTGTGCACATTTTAGAATGATGCATTTATTTTCAATAAATTTCTATGTTGTGCAACTCATTTATAGAGCGGTTGAAAAATTTCGAACAAACAACTCATTAATGACTATGATTGCAGCCCTGTTGGAGAAAATAAGAGAAGTGGGGAAGTATATAGACTCTTTGACGTTGGGGGCCAGAGAAATGAGAGAAGGAAATGGATCCATCTATTTGAAGGCGTTACAGCCATAATATTTTGTGCTGCTCTTAGCGAGTAAGATCATCATTTCTTTCAGTTACCCACTATATCATCATTTGCATGCAGTGTGGTAGTGATGATTTTTTTCAAAGAGACCTCTGCTGAGCTGAAGTATTCTCGATTGTCAATTGTGTTTCAGGTATGATCAAACACTCTTTGAGGATGAAAGCAAGAATCGAATGATGGAGACAAGGGAACTTTTTGAGTGGGTTTTGAAGCAACCGTGTTTTGAGGTTTTATTTCCTTCTATTTTCTTGTGCCCGTATGTCGCATGTGCGGCTGTGCAGATTTCTTCCAACCCAGTTGGCTCTTTAACATTTCATCTTCTCTTCTTTTATATTTTGGTGCAGAAAACGTCGTTCATGCTGTTTTTAAACAAGTTTGATATATTCGAGAAGAAAGTTCTAAATGTAAGAATTAGTACATCACTGTACAGTTATTCATCATTGACAACAAACTAACATACGGTAAGGGCTGTTGAATTTTCCTTGTGTAGGCGCCACTTAACGTCTGCGAGTGGTTCAAAGATTACCAGCCGGTTTCAACAGGAAAGCAAGAGATGGAACATGCATATGAGTAAGCATATACATCTTTGTTGTGGTCCTTTGCTTTGGAAGTAAGGAAAAATAGTCAAACGTATTTAGCTTTAACAACCCTCCGAAAACTCTGGCAAACTGTCTAATATAAACGAGAAACCTAAACATCATAAATGTTTGCATTCAGGTATGTGAAGAAGAAATTTGAGGAATTGTACTTCCAGAGCACGGCCCCCGATCGCGTAGACCGGGTGTTTAAGATCTACAAAACCACCGCCCTTGATCAGAAGCTCGTGAAGAAGACTTTCAAGCTCGTGGACGAGACGTTGAGACGGAGAAATCTCTTCGAGGCCGGTTTATTGTGACCGGGGAGGGGACACACCAGATTTCACGGCCAAACCACAAGATTGTATTTTGAAGGACATCACATCTTTGAGCACAAGCATCAGATTCCTTGATTTTTAGCTTTTATATGTCAATTAAAATCCTGTTCCACTTAACGAGTGTCAAAAACAGTTGTTATAATATATAAAAATAATTGTTGCAAATGATTTATAGCTGAGTTGTTTAAGAGAATGCTAGAGGTCCCGTTTATTCCCTCCCCCGTAACGCTTGTATAGAAAAAAGAAAAACACGTCTTTGGCCCTCCCATGTAGTTTTGAAGATCAATATCATTGGTTCTCATTTTTTTTATTACCAGGAGATTAGCAGATGCCACTGGAATTAGTTGGTTAATGACCTAATTAGGAGCTCCATTTCATTTCATTTACCAATAAAGTAAAACAAAACAAAGTTGGTTGTGTCATATCATATGTTGTACTTATCAAATATCTTATGATTCTTCGAGACTTGTAGTTGTAGGCTGCTTGTAGCACGCTGCAGGCAGATTCCGACCAAATAATTCCAACTCGTATTTTGGTCAAAGACTCAACAGAAAAAGACCCCACCAAGAAAGCTTGGCAAGCATTTTTCTTACCAAAACTGTATTTTGTGCTTAAATACGACAAAAACAAAGTTTTATCTCACGAAAACGTCATTGCGGTCAATTCATCACCAAAGACTACATAGAATCAATAGTTCGCTATCTGAGAAACAAAACAATGTCACGAAACATTAGCTTCAAATGCATGATGAGAATTTGAAACAACACATGCCCTTTTATTTATGAAAATTCAAACATGAACAGCTTGAGTTTACTACTCGTTGCATGGTCATGTATTAAGATTTTATTACTTTGCCATCCATGCACATTGATTGTTTTCGAAAAAGGAACAAAGTTTTGAAAATATTTTATGTGACACACACGAGAAATTTTTCGTGCCTGAAATATGGACCGAACATCACATGCCATTATATAATTAAATTTCCTTTTTAAGTGTTACTCTAATTGGATAACAATAATACTGTTTCACTTGTATTCTAAGCATATGAAAAAACTCTCAACATCCACAAGTCCAATCCAAAACTGTAGTTAAAGAATATTTTATTTTTCATAATTCCCCAAGTTCTCTGTATTTGTTCCAATTTATTGGAAAAGGATCCTTGTTGGATCCTCTATGTGGGGATCCGAAATCAATCAATCATATATGTTTATCGTATATCGTGAGGTAAGAAATTATTTAAAATTTAAAATTGAATATAAATAGTATCTAACAAAAATTAACCGTACGATATACGATGAACGAACGTGATTGATTTATTTCCCGAATCCTCATAAAAAGGATTCAGCGAGATCCTTTTCCTAATTTATTGGGAGGTAGTTATTTAATTGTTGAAAGGAAAAGGGATCTCGTCAGCCGACCCTGCCCGGCAACTGGGATTTGAACAAGCGTGTGAATACAGAAGGCCGCAGACAATTTTGGCACTAACTCCCCAAGGACATAAGCGTCATTCCGCTAGCCGAAAATTCACTTGCCGTCCAACAGAAAAATGCTCCAATTTGTCTTGGAAAATGGTTTTACTGAATTTTTTTTAATTTTTAATTTTTTGACTTAGTACTATGATTTTAGTTCGATTCTCGTGCAATGACGAATTTAAACTATATTATTGTTAGCTTATTGTCAGACCAAACTTATCAAGTCCCTCCTCTCAATATAGATAATATAGTTTGTTCATAAAATAAATAAACCAAACAACATAATTAAAAATGGTATATGGAAAGTGAAAAAGAGCGAAGAAATCTCCTTTATTTTCTTTTGAAACTTGAATTTTTATTTGTTCACTGAAAAACAATGAAAGGAGTACATATTTTATCTAAATATAAAAGAGATGTCACCTAGTGTTATGTTATAGTAGTATTCCTCTTTACTTGTAAGTGAGAAGTCCAAATGCTAATTTGTACCAAATTATTAATAGTCCATTATGACGTTGAGCCTACCCCATTCACCTAAACTTATGTATCATGTTATTAGTTTATGTATTTGAGGACACCAAATAAGGGGAAGACTCTACATTGGGGTTTTACAGGAGCCTATTTTGGCAGATGCAAAGACAAACTTAGATCATATAATCATATAACAAGTAGGTAATTAGATGGTTAGGCACTCTCATAAGAGAGTGGTTCCTACCGTTTTTGACCCGGGAAAACTTTTCATCGACTGTGACTTGTTCGCATTTCGCACCCAAAGCATATTCCTTTCTCTCCCCACTTTCTTGCGGAATTTAAAAATACACAAACTACACACAAAAATCTCGCAGAAAAACCCCAACTTTTTGAATGCAGAAGAAGCACCGAAGATCAAACGGAACCCAATTGATATTTTGCCCCAGAAGCTCGATTGTTGCAATCCCAGGTTCTTAATCTTGTGATTTTCCTTTTCTTTTTTCTGGGTGCTTTTTATTTTCTGTTTGGATCTTGACTCTTGAGAAAAATGAGGAAAAGCAAACGCAGAAAGCATGAAAGCCAAAAGCGAATGCCAAAGAAAAGTGCTTTTCCCAGACCCATTTGCATGCATTTCCTCGCTTTCCCATTTCCCTTTCCAATTTTCTGTGATTCTTTCCAAGAACAACTAATTGACATCTGATTAAAGGTGTGAAATTGCTGTCATTAATTTGTCATAATTTATCAAATTGTTTTGATTGAATGTTGAAACTAATGGTTAGGAATTTGGGACTTAAATTATGAATTGTACCCGTTAATATCGAATTATGTGCTTTATATCAATGGAATTGATTGAAAATGTTTATATAAATTGACAATGTTTATGAATGTTTATTGTTAATATTGTTACGTATGAATGTTTTCTTTTTCAATGGAATTCCTGTTACATTTATTGTTAATATTGTTACGTATGAATGTTTTCTTTTTCATCTTCTGAACTGCCCTTTGAATTTCTGCAGGTGTATAACATATCGTATCCGTCTTGATTTATATCTTAAATCCAATTTCTGTGTTGATGAAGTTTTAAGTGCCAATTAGGTTAGGATTTTAGGACATAACTAAACATGAGGATTAAGCGGTTCGGGTTCATGGATTTCGATGAAGGCTCTCCATACAATTCACATTTTAGTTCATTTGCCGATAATTCATTGCAACGGTGTAGATACTTTCATGTTCCCGGAAGTTTAGCTCTTGAAGGAGCATTTAACCACATTTCTAAACTTGCTGGTTCTTTACTATTCTTCTTCTCTAGTGGACCCAATACAAATGCTACTAGAGATATAGGGGGTAATTTGCATGATTCTGAACCTGGAAGCTCCACGTCTTACCCACAAGTTAAACATTTTACTTCTGGTCGACATAATCTTAGAGGATTTCACTTTGGATTTGCATCAAGAGGAGAATCTGCTAATGCAGTGGTTTTTGGAAAGATTTCGGCTTTTGTAATGCAATTACTACACAGAGAAGCTGAAAAGCTACATTCACATCCCTTGCTCTCGTTAGCTGCTGGACTTGTACCTCCTTTCGGCAGCTTGTAAGTCTTTAAACTCTTCACGAGGGAGTGGATTAAAGTGTAAAATTTCCCAATCGGTTCTGTTTTTGGTGTTGATTACATACCTTTTTATTTGTTATTACCACCAGATCTTCAAATGTACTAGCTGTTCCATTGGAGACTACGGATGTCTTGGATCAAAGGCCTTGTGAGGTTGGGCACCACAGATGTGCAGGATTACCAATTCCCGACTTGAACTGGAGAAGACATGCAGTGGAACCTATTACTGGCACTGAGTTTCCTATGATTTTGGACGACGTTTTGACAAGGGAGAGTAATTCCAGTTTAAGTTCAGAGGTTGGTGTTTGTACTTTTGTTCTTTAGTGCAAGGCAGCCATGTTTATGTTCAGATCTTCTCAGTTACATATGATTTAATATCAACATTGTGTACTGTTGCAGATCCTTGTGGGAACTGGATCCAAAACAATGACAATAATCAAAATAAAATCTCTGAAGGTCTATGCATTTGGGTTCTGTAAGTTATTAGTATTTATATATTACTTCCGATCTGCATTACTTTTTGCATCCATTACCTTACTTGCTCTCTTATTTATGTATCAATTCTTCCTATGTAGATATCCATCCTCACTCTGTTTGCAAGAAATTGGGGCAAAAATATGCTTCCATTTCAGTAGATGAACTAAACAAGTGCCATGATTTCTATGAAGATCTTCTCAGGTATTGACAAATATCATGATCCATGCCACACGGTGTAGTGAAATTTACATTTTTTTCCGGATCTAATCCATAGATGCTAAATACTTTATGTTTCTTTTTTGCAATTTCGTTCCAAGCTGAGTTAGCATATGAGTCATCATATTGTTACTGTTAAATTAATTTTATTGGCTCTGCTGCTAAGTTTCATGGATTTGGTTAACTTGCTGCTACTTATTGCATTTTCCATTTTGCCTACAGGGCGGATATTGATATGACAGTTAGGCTTGTGGTTAATTGCAACGGGATGAAAATCAATACTGTGAGAGAGTAAGTTATATCTTTGTTTCAGCATACCCTTTGATAATTAATTGGGTTTTGTATGTCTCTATTTTAATTGAGATAAGAGACATTCTTGAGGCTTTTTCGTTATGATTACTGTTCTCAAACATTCATAATTCCTGTTATCACTATTAGGAGACCATCTCAGTTAGCTCCATATGTCATAGTGGCTTGGATAAGTTCACATTCAAACGGGTGGTGTGAATGTGAGTTGAGTGAACTTGACGCCTAACCAGCTGTTGTTGTGAGGCATTACATGTATAAGCTAGAAGTTTTACAAATTACGCACTCATTCACTATCTAAAGCCCAAAAACTGATTCTGCAAGTTAATTTGATGCGTTACGTGAGCTTAGCTTCTGCTTAGCTTTGTTCCTTCCTCGCTAGGTGTCCTAGTAGATATGTGTTACAACAATGTTGAAAATTGGAATTAAGTGTTGATCATTCTCATTTATGTGCTTTTGATTACACTGGATGCAGTGCCTTTGAGAAATCCCTTCGAGCTCGATTGGTGAAGGTAAATCATCTCCCTTTCTAGAATCTCCCTTTTTGTTTCTGTTCTGGTATTTGCTAATTCTTGTCCTTTGGTTCTTTTAGGTGAACCCAGAGACTGACTTTCATTGCATAAGAACATTTGGTTCAAATTTCACACAAGATATTCCTTTGCCAGTGGTA